AACTTCCCGCTTCTTGGCACGTCCGATCGATCCATCCACACGCGAGATGGTCCCTCTCTGAGGATCAAGAACCAGACAATACTAGTCGGCAGCCCTGACTTTCATATGCACGCATGCATAGGTGTATTCATTAAGGTGATAACTGTCACCGACTCAACCCCTCGACCATGACTCCGAAGAATATTACGAGTATATTGTTGGGTGATTCATAAGGTCATTACACCACACCGGCTATCTAATCTATCCTACCACAAAGTTGGGTTGGCTCAACCTTGACGACTTTGCCAGGTAGATTCTTTTTCTTTTTAGCCGTAAAGAAAACAAATCTATCTGGGAAAGTCTCGAGGCTAAGCCAACCTAACTTTATGATATTTCAGTTTTTGATACTCCTTCAACTCCTGGTGTGCGGTTTCCTACAAGCCATTGGCGTTGATAGAGGCAAATGCACCGTCATCCAAGCAAGGTTTGTAGTGTTGGTTCATACGGGTCATAAGTGTCGTAACTCGTCCATTCATATCGCCTCATCTTCGTCACGGATTCGCTCAACCCTTTTGACTTGCCGCTCAATCTTTTCCACTCGGCCTTCAACGTCGGCCAACAACTGAGAGTTTGACAAGATGGAGCTCTCGTACCAGGATCGTAGAACAGCCTCGCTCCTTGTGCGAAGCTCGGCGATCTCAGCTGCCTGGGCTAGTTGAGTTGCCTCGATAGCCGTCATCCTCTCGGCCTGGGCCAACAATGCAGCACTCTCTGCTGGATCGGGGATTTGGCTGTCCTTGATGGCGGTCAAGGCTGAAAGCGTTGCAGGGTACGTAGACGCGGCGGACAGGACAATGGACAGGATGGCGTCGTTTGTGAGCTGTGTCGGAGCCTCTGATGGATCCGGCGAGTGGAAGAAGTCGGGGTGTGCACGGTCTGCCAGAGTGAATTAGCATTTTTGAGGACAGTGATGAAAGCTGCCAGTGACGAGGCTCACAAATCTTCAGAAGCTCCCCATATACGCGTACATGCGAGGTGAGAGCATTGAATCGTCTCTCCAAATCGGCCAATTTGAGCGTAGCTGAATTTTCCTGGCCTGATGAAATATCTGACTGCCCATAAAGGAGATGCTCAATCTGCAGCAGTCGTGACTCCAGCAGGGAAAGGGTGGACAGGGTCGTGTCGTCCAAGGAGCTTGCCATTGCGACGGAGCCTCGGGGATGAACCGGGGACCAACACAGATGAATACGATCAATGGGTTTAAGTGTTGCTCAAGATGTAGCCCTCCCCAATTAACCACAACAAGACGATAGTCCTCCGCAAGGCTATCAGTCAAGGAGGCCGGCCCGACGTCGGAAGGCGTTCGTATCGTTCGAGGCTGTGTTGGCGTGACGTCGGAGCAGAGGTAAAGGAGTGTGGATAAGACTAATCATGGCGCCTTGTTACGAGCAATCTCTGGCCTGCTATTAGTTGCTTTCAAACTACCCGGTAGTCCGCGTCGCCTTGTGATTGGCCACAGCCCACCCCCACAAGCCAGTCTTGGCACGGGCACCGGATCGTGGCCTCAAACGTCAGAGGAAGCATGCTTCTGTATCCTGCAACCACTAAATCATCCTCCTCACATCCAGACTGCAGCTTTATCCTCCCTCAGTGAAGGAAACCCAGGTCGCACAACTCGAAGCGGCTTGTATCTGGCCGCCGTGCCGCCCCAAGTGATCAACGGCGGCACACGACCAGACCGACCTGGTGATTGACCTACCGCCCGTCCAGGTCATTTGGGACATTCTTTTGTACATACCTCCCAACCCAAACAGAACATACATCGCTTCGGAGCTCAAACTCTTTGCCTGCAAACGAAACAAGTGCGGCGACTCTACCATACTTCTGTCAGGACATGACGCACTACTCGACGATAGCCGATGCCACTTCTTCTCGCGCAGGTGGAGGTGATACAATGAGGTCGGTCTATTCAAGGGAGGCGCCTTGTAGCTTCTCGTCCCGTTTTCTCCAATCGGTGTACTGACAAGTTCTATTTGGTCCAACAGGTCTCGAAGACGAGGTAGAAAGGACATCCGCCACGGCGGTGGCCAGGCGTCCATGGTCAGCAGCGTCGTCAATCTTTTGAATACCAGTACGCACATCCATCCTCAGTCGAAACCGGCATCACCTGGGACGAGTGCTCATATGTTAATGATCTTACAGTTGTTGGGGCTGGTACTCTTGCAATGCCATCGATATTATCCCATATGGGAATCATGCTCGGAACCCTTCTTATTGTCTGGTCCGGTTGCATGGCAGCGTTCGGACTCTATCTCCAATCGAAATGCGCCCGATATCTTGATCGCGGAACGTCCTCGTTTTTCGCCTTGTCGCAGATTACATACCCGAATGCCGCGGTTCTCTTCGATCTCGCAATCGCCGTCAAATGCTTTGGTGTCGGTGTTTCTTATATGATTATTATTGGCGATTTGATGCCTGGCGTGGTGCTCGGGTTCAACGACCAAGCCAACGGTTATCCGTATCTAGTTGACCGTCATTTCTGGATCACGGCGTTCATGCTTCTGGTCATCCCTTTGGCATTCTTGCGGAGACTTGACTCGCTCAAGTACACCAGTCTCATCGCGCTTGTGTCCATCGGCTACCTTATTGTGCTCGTCATATATCACTTCGCTGTAGATTCCCATGCGAGCCCCGAGGATATCCGCGTTATCAAGTGGGCAGGGCCCATACAGACATTAAGCGCTTTGCCTGTTGTCGTGTTCGCATACACATGCCATCAGAATGTGGGTGCACTCATCCCTACCGCCGCTCAGCGACTTTACTCTCACTTACTGACTCTTTTCGCAGATGTTCTCCATTATGAACGAGATCAAAGACAATTCGCCTTCTAGTATTACACGCGTAATTGGGTCCAGCATTGGACTCGCGGCTGTCATTTACATAGTCGTCTCGATTGCTGGCTACATTACTTTCGGCAATGCCATTGTGGCAAATATTATTTCAATGTGTATGTGATCCCATTTTCAATCTGGAAATCATCCCTGCCCCATGCTTACAAGACTAGATCCAACCGGCGTTGCTTCCACCATCGGAAAAGCGGCCATCGTCGTTCTTGTTCTATTTTCCATCCCTCTCCAAGTTCACCCATGCCGTGCGTCTTTGGATGCTGTCATGAAGTGGCGCCCAAACCGAGGGCCGACTCTGGCTCCTGTGCGCCCAGCGTCGCCGCTGCTTCATGCACCAGCCACGCGAAGCGATCATGGTGGTCAAGCTGCCATGTCAGACGGCCGTTTCGCGCTGCTCACCACGGTCATTTTGATCCTCTCGTATATCACCGCACTCTCGGTCTCCAGTCTTGACCGTGTCCTAGCCTTTGTTGGAAGCACTGGATCTACATCGATTAGTTTTATCCTTCCCGGTCTCTTTTATTATAAAATTAGCGACCCGGAGAGTATCCACCATCAACGGCTCATCAAGGAAGATGATGATATTGACGAAGTCAGCGACTCCGAGATCGCTGACTCCGCCGTCACAGTTGCTGGAAGTACAGCTAGCTTACTATCTGCCTCAGAAACCGGTACGACACTCACTAATAACTGGCGATGGCGAAGGAAGTGGCGATGGGATCTGGAGCACATTGATCAGGGCCTCCTCCGCAAACTCAGTCTCAGTCTCGCTGTGTATGGCATCATTGTCATGACGGTGTGCTTGATTCTGAACATCTTCTTCGTGCACAGAACTTAATTCAACATGCGCGCACGATTATTATCATGACTTGACGGCCTTCGTTTCAGGCACTTCTCATCTCCTACATCCCCTTCATTGCACCAGTTCTTACATTCTTTCAATTAACGTTATTACGTGCGGCATGGCATCAGTGGAGTTTGAAAGCGGAATTCAATCCGTTCCCCAGACACGGGGTTGGCGTTATAGAGAGTATTGGATACAATAATAACTAAATAGCTATATACAAGCATATAGTGTAGATTAAAGACCTCCATATATTTAGTTTAATCACATCTCTCATATGAAACGCGATGATTCTTTATACAGTCACGGAGAGGGTCCTTGCATACACGGGAAATCGGGTGAAGTTAAAGTGGTCGTACATGCCATTCAATACATATAAAAACAAGGCCAGACGGCGGATTTCGGACCGCCCCATGCCAATAAATCCTCGTTTCCCCCAAAGTCAACGCCAGAACAATGCCGTACAGGTATTATCGTACATCCTTTTTTTTCCTTCTCTATGCCAAAGTCGACGCTCGGTTCTCAGTGAAGCTTCACAGACTTGGCCTCGACGGGTTCCAAGAGCTTCTCGCGCTGAAGCCCAACCACCTTCTTTGGCAGGACCTTTGCCATGCTCAATATCCTCCAAGCGGTGTCTGTGGGCTGGGCGCCGACACCGACCCAGTACCGGGCACGATCAACGTCGAGGTTGATGTCCTTGTGGAGTGATTTCGGGTTGCCGTAGGGGTCCGCCTTAGGGATGGGGTCGTAGGTGCCAATGACCTCAATGGGTTTCGAGTTTCGTGCCGTCCTACAGGATCGGAAGCAAACTATGTCAGCTGGGTGTCGGCGATTGGGGAGCGTCCAAAGCATCATCAAGGTGCGTACCGGGCATGTGCGACAACGATGTTGTAGAATGGGGAGTTTCGGCGCCCAAATCGGGCGAGGCGGATCTTGACTACCATTGTTTGATAGTTTATTGCGTCTGGGCGTTTCCCAAGTTGGCGGGACGGATGGGTGGTGATGCTTCAAGAGCAGGCATTGGAGTGGTCTCACGGAATTTTCTCGGCGGATTAGCTTTTCTCCGCCTACGCTGTCAATTGTGGCCCGTCTGCCCCACCAGGTCCGGGATTGTTTCAATTCAGCCAATCGCTTGAAACCAATGATGTCAGTGTCATTCAATTCCCACCCGCCCTCATGTACATCAACCCAATTCCTCGCTTTGCATGCCAACTTTTGCTCTTTCCCATTCCCACGCCTCATTTTTCCGTCTAAATCAAGCCATTCGCATCATGGCATTAAAAGTACGCCACCCCAACTCCATAATGCGGTTCCACTTGCCTGGGATAAAGCTGATGGACCCTATCTTATGATGTCAGACCTTGGGCGCAAAAGCGGCCGTTGCACTCGACCAGGAACTGATGAGCACTTGCGCCTTCTCCATAGACCAGTTGATGGAGTTGGCTGGCCTATCAGTCTCACAAGCTGGTAAGGATCAAGCTAAAGGTTGTGTCACCGGAACTAACATCCCCACCACCAAGTATTCAGGGTCCATCCCCTTGAGAAGGGTCCTCGGATTCTGGTTGCCTGTGGTCCTGGGAATAACGGTGGGTGTGAAATTCCCATGCTGAGAAGTGTCCTCTCGTGTGTGCGGTTCTGAGTGCGGTTCTGAGTGCGGTCTAGGGGGTGATGGCCTCGTTGCCGCCAGACACCTGTTTCATTATGGCTACTCGCCAACGATTTTCTATCCAAAGAGGAGCAAGAATGAACTGTACCAGGTATGAGCATGCTATCGTCAAAATTATCTTGCTGTCTAGGATTAAGGGGTTCTAAATTCCGGGCACGGTTCGCATGTGTGCCTCTTCTTTCGTTTACTTGTCCTCGGCCACAGAACCCAACTCTCCAACCATTGACCACGACTAACACAGGGCCCAGCGTCTTGCCAAGCAACTTGAGGATCTCAGAGTTCCCTTCGTAGATGATTTCCGCACAGCCCTGGATTCCACGGATCACGTTGTCGACGCGATTTTCGGTGAGCAGTGCTGAACTTCCACGATGGAGAGTTTATTGGGTGTTGACGAAGAGCGGCAGGGTTCAGCTTTTCAGGCGAAGTTCGGGAGCCATTCCCGGCGGTGATCCAAGCCCTCGCGGACACAAAGGTCCCCGTCACTTCAGTTGATGCTCCTTCGTCGTGGGATATTGAAAACGGGCCTCCAAATTCCGGGTTAGGTAGTAACTTTATGCCTGCGACTCTCGTTAGCCTCACGGCACCGAAACCGCTTGTGAAGCACTTCACAGGGCGACACTTTGTTGGGGGAAGGTAGGCTCAACTGGTTCCTGACCAACCTTTTCAACCGGATCTGACGATGGAGAAACACAGATTTGTCTCTCCCATGATTGCAAAAAAATATGATTTTGAGGTTCCCGAGTATGAGGGCCTTGACCAGGTAGTCGAGGTCGCTGCGGATGGCCACCGGCTCTAAGCCAGCTGAACCAAGAGACCATCCTCTGTATAATGTTACATGACACGGCAGCCGCCTCTCAAGCTGTTAGGGCACACCGGGCTGGGGCACTGCCCTTCCCTCATCTCAATGGGGACCACAATCGTTCCTATGGGGCAGAAGAGCAACGGGGGGTGATATTCTTGACAGAAAGCAACATAGACGAGATAATCCTTCCCGCACACTGGGCATTGGGCCGTATGCTGCGTACACATCTATCGTGAGCTTGAAAAAGTCCGAATCATCGAGCGGCAGGGCGAAGAATAGCGATGAATCATGGGTGATGGTGTATGGATTATTCCAACATGAAGATGTGAGTTCCGAAGAAAGAGAATGTTGATCTAGATAAAATTGTAAGATGGAAAATGGAAGTGGAGGGTGGGGATGCTGATAGTCAGGGGGGGGTTCGAAAAAAGGAACACCACGTATAAATATGGGATGAGGCAGATGGAAATTTATAGGAAAGAACAAGGCACTGACTATTCAGGGAGTGGGTTGGCAGGTTGAGGTTGTCTCCAGTCCGTGGAGTTGGCTGGCTTATACAGCGAAGCAGGTACCACGGTTAAGCCAACGGTCGCCACCACCCACAGGGCTCCGGCCGGAGGTCCAGGAACGCAGACAGGTGAGTACTTTCCCAATGTAGCTTGTCGGCAATCGCCTCGACAGTAGGGCACTGGTAGCTCCGGGGTCCTGGGCGAAGGGGAGGGCGAGGGACAAGAGCAGAACCGCGCAACAAGGGGCGTCAACAATCAGAACACATTGTGATATCCAGTAGTTCGCAACGTCTAGGCAGTGGGAAAGAGCCATTTTGACAATTAAATCCTGTGCACCCGCTTAGCTGTCCCAGCCAGCATTTGTCTGGCCTGGGTGGAATTGGGGGCACTCAAGCCACAGGTACCCGGAGCAAAAGCTCCATGGTCGGTGTGATAGGCTACCGCCCACGGGTGCAGCGTCTGCCAAAACCAAGCGCGCGACCAGTGAGCCCGCTCCGCTTTTTCCCACAACACTTGCTTCCTCCTCCGACAAACTGATCTGATCTCTCATCAGCCACACCTCCGCAGATGCTAAGCGCACTCAGAGGGACCCTGGGGACCTCAGTTCATCGACCTCTGCCTTCTTCTGACCACTAAATTGCGAAATTGGCTCATTCTTTCTGCCCCCCCTCTCCTCTGCTTCCCACAGCATCCGGCGCCGTTCCTTTCTTTTCTTTTTCGTTCCGTCTGGTTTTCTTCTACTCTGCTCGCCAAGCCGGTTTGAGGCATGCGAAGACGTGGTTGGACGACGAGCCTGCGATAGCTGGACCCTGGCCTTGTAGAAGCGATCGAAGGCTGGCCATGGAGCGCTCCAGACCCCCCATTTCGCAGCATTACCCCAATTGGAACCTGCTGTCGCGTTCCCTTGCCACGGGCGCCCATTCTCCAATTACAAACTGCGGCGATGACAGTGAGGCTGCCTCCTAGATTTGTCCGCCCGATCTACATCAAATTCTCCTGATCTCCATGGCAATGCATGGGCCACGCATCGAATCTATGTACATGATGGTCGACGGCAGCTGAGGGATGGCGTCTCGGTACAAGGATGTACCTGGTTGCTGGCCATCAAAAGAAAAGACGACAAACGAAAAGATCTGTTTTCACATGACAGCCTCGATTTTGCCATCCCAGAATCATTCTTGGAGACATGCTGATGTCGATCACTCGATGCTAATTACCAAGCCACTTGCAACGGTACAACATCCATTCCCCCAACAGTCGAACCAACAGACGCTCAAGATGCAGGCTAACAAGGCCGTTCTCTCAATCGCCCCTCCTCCTTGACCCCACCTCTCGGCTTATCGGCCGGATCCGTGTGTGGCGCATTGCTTTCAAAATACCGACTTGACGGTTTGACAAACGGTTAATTTTCTCGAAACGCTTCGGTTTGCCACAGTACCGTCGTCCATGCGGGTGGCTTGTGGCTGGGACGGCGGCCATCCCGCTGCAGAAGTGCCCAATGTCCGTCCGCCTTGGAACAGCTGTTCAGCTATCGCCAAGCTCATTGGACCTGAGGCTACGAATATTACGTTGCCAGCTCCCTCGGTGGCGACTTTGAACTCATTCACAAGCCACAATTGTCTCCATTGCCTAGGCAGTTATGTGCGTAGTCTCCTCCCGTATCCCGTTATAGACCCAGGGCATCGATCAGCGAGCAAGGGGTTGCTGGGCTAAGCCGCTATGCCGCGAGTAGCTCCCGGGCACCGGAAGGCTAAGTAAAAGCCCCGGACAATGAGTCTTCTTGTACTACCTACCCTTACCTTTGCCTCAGTCCTGGCCAACCAAAAGAGGCGTGCTCCTCGTCCTTCGATGGAGCCCATTACTCAACGGCTTGGCTCAAGTCGCTGGATTCTGACTTGCAGGACGTCGCTCGCCCAGTCGGCCATACTCCACCAAGAGCCCTCAGAGCTCATTAGACCCGCATGAATATCACAGAATTCATCCAAGCTACAGGGATGCCCCACCATGCCAGTGGGTGTGCCCCCCCCGCATGGGTAGATGAAATCCCTTCCATTCCCAGAACGCGAGGTTAATCAAGGCCATCTTGTCAATCTGTGGTTCAAGATCAGAGCGAATCATTGGCCTGCGGATCTTGCAACACTGCATCAGGTGGTCCCGTCATGCCAATGCGAGGGAGCCATATCCACAAAAATGAATACATGTACAGCCACGATCGAACCATGAACCTCAACAATCATCAGTACATGTCACTGCTGACCAGCGGTACTTTGAACAATTGGTCGGGTCATTTGTGGGAACCGTAGCCTTGCTAGTGATCGACTCTAGTGGTGAGTAATGAGCGCTTGCCGCAGGTCGAATCAATAACGCATACATATCCTCAACTTTCCCCTGATCCCTGTGCAGTCACCTTCCATCCTCACCCACCCGCACCAGCACTCGGGCAAGTCGGGGTTGGGCTCCTACTCTGTAGGGCCTAGGCAGTCTGTGGTCACGGTCGGGGCCTTTGAGAGACTCTAAGACCCTGAGACCCCAGTATACCAGGTCGGGTCCACTACTCTCCTCAAAGGAGCTCGAGGGGAGGGGTGAGGGCGGAAGATTATCCGAACAGAAATCGAAGAAATCTGGCCTTGGCCTTCGGAAGCGCAAACCAAAATTTACCAGGACCTGCAGTCGTCTGGCGTCCGGCGCTGGCGGTGTGTCATTAGGCTGCAGGACTTGAGGGGGTTTTGTCTGGTCCGGCTGGTCCAGCAATTCCGCAGGTCGTCCGCGGAGCAAATGCTCCTAGGCCATCACCACTAATAGGCGTTTCCCCAACCAAAGGCTGAGACGATCCATATCCCATCGTCTGATTTCGTTCTCTTCCAGTATTTGTCACGACTGCCTAGACGACCAAAAGGGACCCAGCAATGCAAACTCTGCTGTGTGCCACGAGTTCGATCTCGATTGCCACAGCTGGGTATGATTATGCCATCGTTTCGTCATGCTAGGTTTGAACCCTCGAAGTTTCCACGCAAGATGACTCAACTTTCGATCTCGATAGTCTCTACGCCCCTCGTCAGGGACCAAAACGTGGAGAGTTCTAGAGAGACTGTAAACTCGAAACTTAAAAACTCAAAGTTGACAGTTGATAGGTAATTCTGAAACAAGGCATTTCATCGGCTGGCCCTCCACTCACACCATCAGAGATGGCCATTCCAAGTCGGTGACTCACTTTGCTGTCGCTGGGATAAGGGGGGATAACGGATGGGTGGGCGATCGGGTACTTCTGTGTACCTGCCACGTGCGAGAGGGTGTCACAGCTCCGACGCGCTGTTGGTCCGACGGAAATTTCAGATGCCAGCCTTCTCAAGGATCGCGATCCAAAGATGGCGGAAAGGAACGGAAGTCCAGGCACCAACACCCCCAACGTCATTCGGCCCGTCAGATGAGGGCTGTTCATCTCATGGCAATAGCCAATTGGCACACCATCTCGGAGGATAGTTCTACTCCCGGGTGTTATTTTGGCATCAAGTTTGACGAAAGGGTGAGGTTGTCTCCCGTAGTCTTGGTTACCCTAAACCACAACTTGAGACGCCTCCCCGACAATAACAATCGGGGATTGAGTGATTGGTTTCCCAACTCCAGCACAAGTCATAATTGAATATTGAGATGGTATGACTCGGGTGTTGTTGAGAGGCAGTATTTGACATCTAAACTCGGCCTTCTCGGTCTGTCCTGTAGTTGGTTGAACAGCACGAGATCCTATCAATGTACTTGGTTACCTTTGCTGATAGATACAGGTATAGAAATATAAGGACCCACGTACTCAGGGTATCGAAGCATCGATTTTTCCTTCTCCTTTGACCGGAACGATCTGTGCGCGTAGCATAACACACAAAGGATGTCAACATCTCTACCGTCAAGTGTATCCCGACTGGAAGATGATCAGACCGACGCACTGTGATTTGATCAGTAATTTGGCGGTCGGTCCAGCTTTCGCTTGATTCATTTGAAACCTACTTCCAAAGCCTGATATCCCAATCGCTCGAACCTGGCCATATAATCTTACAATATGGCCATGACCTGGTCATTTTCGCGGTTACCTACCCTACGGATAGTTTTCAGGTTTGGCTCAGTGGATTTATAGGTTTGCAGAGCAGTTTCATGACATACTTGCCGATAACAAAATATTTCATTGCCAGTTATACGCAATAAAGAAGCCATAATCCTCTTCGTGGCACGCTGCAGCGAGAAAGTGTCCAGGGATGGTTGGATGGATAAGGACGACGTTCAGGCTGCCAACTCAACCTCGATCCTCGTGCGAATGGAAGACATGTCCTTTTACTCGACCGTTACCCTAGAAGCGACATTCACGAAAACTCAGTTTTGACATCGACCAATTGGCTGCCGGAGCCGTACCGGGTTCAACCAGCGAGCGAGTCGAAAGCGGCGCGTCTATCCATCTCCCCACCAACCCTGTAACAGGTGAATCACCACGATGCTACCAAG